CGCCTTCGTGAGAAAGAGCGGTAGGAGAAATTCAAGTAGGCCTTTTTAACAACTGCCAAGCCATTCGAATTCACAACTATCTACTGCCGAATCTCTGGTACTTCCCATTCCAAGTGGCGGTTTCACATCCGATGATCGCGCTACACGGGAAAGATTCTGCGTGAGGTTCGGCACGATCTGGAGACAGTTCCTTCGTTCTGCTGTCGCGTTGGATGGAGTGTACGCAGCCAGTACAGTACGGTGTACGTATATGTATTATGTTCATACGTCAGTGTAGTTCACGATTCGAGACAGCGAAGGTTCGAGTGTCTATCACACGCGAGGCCGGGGACGGGACAGCCGATCACGGGCCGAGTGACCTGCCGATCCTCGCTGTTCAGAAATTTACGTTTCTCATCCAGCGGTCGTATTGCTATATTTTCTGTCGCAGATCAAACATCGTGACCAGAAATATGTTTGTTTGCAACTTGAATTTCTTTTCTTCATTAATTTAAGAAAGACGACTCCAACAAAACGTTCAACAAAATTACTTACCGTTAATACCGGGCAACCAGGTTCCAACAACTCACCAAACAGCTAAAGTGGACCATAGCAGAACCGCAAAAAATCCTGCGTGCCGATGACATGGAAAAGAATAAGTCCCAGTTTTTATGACGGCAAAAGAACGATCACGGGAGGCGCACCCGGACTACGATATTTCTGTATTACTAGTGGTGCCGCGGTCTGATCGAGCGAGCGGTTTTTAGTGTTTTTCAGTACTATGCATGCTGGGGACACACATTGATCAACTGGCCACTTGTCCATCAAAGCGTCTAAACATGCTGTCTGATTGGTCCGTGTGGCCGGCCCATGCTCTCATTAAATAAACGGGCTCCAGAAGATTAGACCACCCCTCGCATGGGATGGTACGCGCCAAGCTGATTGCGGAGTGGAACTTACACGGCCGGGGCTTTTGAACGATTCTATTCATGCCGTGGGCACGCTCCTGTGGCCTCAGAATTCTTCCAGGTTTCTTTGACAAACACAATGCCATGCTATTGTTATTCCGCCGCATAAAAGGAAACCCAAAGGCCCTGAGTCTTTTCTTCTATTCAGCCGTGTTGTTAAACTCTCTTAACGGGCAGGATTTTGGACCAACCACAAATAGTGAGTCTGCGATCGTTCAACTGAGGGGGCCCCCGCACCGCCGAAAACGATCATCGTCTCGCACCTCGGTGCGGCGCGAGAGAACTATACGTATAATTATGACGGTAAACGAATTTTAGAAGATGAAGTAAATCCAAGTTCCAGCTTCAGATATGGCCTGATTATGTATTTCAGATTACGAACTTCAATGAGGATGATTATAATTAGTGACAACACGGTTAGAGGTTTTTTTTATATAGTCTCAGATGTCGAACGTCTCATTAGAGAATTACTTCTATTTAAAAATGATGCGGAGCAACAATTCGGACGCAAATTATTTACTTTTTCCCATACATTTTTGACACCTTTCACAACACGAATGCATGTTACATAACGTGAATTTGAGTAAGGGTAAGGGATTTCTTGGGTTGCTTTGATTTAATATTTCTAGAGGACTGTGGACAGGAGACCTCTCCTATGTTTCCAGGATGAGTACTTGCAGATGCAAATGTCCCGTTCGAGTCGTTTCCGATGAAAGCTAGAAATCATAAACCACATAGTTTGGGAATGCCACCCTTATCACAGTGCGAGATAGCTGTGGGACGTACAAGAGGGCACTGCCTTGAGAAAAAGTGCCTTGTTTAGATGGCAAGAAAAATGGGGATAGGTCTCTTTTTTTTTTTACTTTTATCGAGTTACGGAGAGACTCTGCGCCCACGGTAAAGCGTCGCACCCTCTTTTCCCAGAGGAAACTATGTTGTCAATCTCAAGTGAGAGAAATGAACGGACTGCAAATGTCGCCAAGTATAACTTCCGCCGACTCTCGCTTTCCATCCTTTGCTCAGGATGCGCACCTTCTTTGTAAAAAAAAGTTGGTCGGTGCCGACGACAGCCTGAGTCCTGAAGATGATTTTTCTTAGCTGCGAACTAATTTTGTGTCAGTGAGAGAATGAAGGGTACAGAGAAAGTGCGTTCACTCGCCGGTCAATCTTGTCAACCGAGTCTTTCGTTGCCAGGCTATTCATACACTTTGGATGACTGGTCATTGAATGTGGCGTGGGCAACACAGCAAATCAATTTCAGTCTGTCCCGCCACATACTAATGAGAAATGGAGACGCCAATGAATGATCGACAAAATATACGCTAGTGTTTGTGGCATAATATACTTGGAAATAACTTATACAAGCCACAAATGACCACGGGACGTATGGTGTACGTTGTTGGTAATATCTTTGCACTGATGTCTCTATCTTGCTTTGATCTGTCGGATTTCAAGCAGACAATGGAGACGAAGCGACCTACCACGCAGCATTTTTGGCCTTGTCTGCATGTGTGTACGCAGACGGCACGACCTGCCGTGTGATTCTGGGGCATTTTACCGGTTTGTTTCTGGAGGGCAGGTTGTTCAACTGCACGGTCTTTGAGTACTGGACTGGTTGACTGCGCCGTGACTTTGTACCTGGCAATTTCCAGCCATTTTTCTTGACATGACGTCCGGCGCAATGACAACAAACCCAGGCTGATTGATGGTGGTGTATACGCACTAAAAAACCTGGGGTTTATATTTTTCGGCGGCCGGGCAATATACGGCGAGTTTATAGACGTTGCACAGCCCCGGGCTCGGTTAAGAAAATAATGAAACATGGAGGGAAAGAAAAAGATTTATAATTGCTAATTTCAAAAGTAAACAAACAAGCTTAAGGTTAGAACCAAAGAACAGAAACTGTAAAAGTTCTTTCGAGGAAAAAAATCCAAAAGTATACAGTCACAACAAACTTACCACTTCCGTAGTCCGGTCCAATCCATAGGCAATATTTTCCATCATGACCGTGGACATGGAAACATGTGTTAAGTGGACATAGATTTACCGGAAACGGCTTCTCATTTTCCATTTAATTGCATCCCTGCCACACACAAAATTGCCTCGGTGACTAATTGATGTTTTAACCCCAACCCACCTCAATCCTCCAAAATCCTCCGGGTGGTTTTGGGGGATTTTGGAGGGTTCAGGGTGAATGATGATTTAAACATTGGAGGATTTGGGAGGATTGAGGTTGAATGGTGGTTGAAGCATGGAGGATTTAGGATTGAGGATGAATAGTGTTTTAAAGGCTGGAGGATTTTGGAGGATTGAGGATTCAGGTAACTTTCATTTGTGCGTATGCCCCAAAAATTGAGGATTTTGGAGGATTGAGAATGAATGCAGTATTTGAAGTTGGGCAATTGGAGGATTGAGAATGTGCCCTACTAAAAAGGCACTAGTGGGTCAGGGTTAATTGAGTTTTTTATTCAAAATGATGACAAGAGCCATGCATAGAGTGTCGGGCGACGCATTAAATTCTCCACTCTCAATATGGATTTATGACAAAACAGTTTCTTTAATATATGTCACAAACTACACGAATCCTTTCCGTGCTTTCGGGGGTACTTTGATTCTCATAAAATTGTAATTAATATTCCAAAGCAATGCTGGGGCGTGTGTACCCCACGACCTACAGCGCATGCGTGCACACAAACTATGAACCACACGACTTTACTTTCTACACCACCCCCTTTGAACCCTCGCCCATATCCCACTATTAAACGCCACACAACAGTTTATACTCCGTGCAGAGATCTGGACTATTTTGTCCTTTCACCATAATCGTAGCATTGGACAACTGCTTCAGCAACTCTTGGTAAGTTTATAGCAATGCAATCATGCATTATAGAAAACCTACTAATTTTGAGCTGTCGGGAATTACATGGCCTGGGGTGGCATCACCAATCCTCCTAAATTATTGCTTTCAAAGTAGAACTGTTCACAGGTTGCTTCAATGACCCCTGGAGTGTAAGTGGTTGTAATTTTACAACACTTGTGCATTTTTTCTTTAAATTCATGCATGGGAGTTGTATCAAACTTTCTCCGTGAAGCAATTATTGTTCTGTGCACCAAATAAGACAACCGTGTGAGTACAATAAATTTGAAACAACAACTGCGGACGCTCTTGGACGCCTTTGCAAAGTTGGTCAAATTCGAATCGAAATAAACGGCAATTGAGGTGGTTTGTATAACTGCCCGATATTTCAAATAAAAACGTATAAAATGGGCTAAACTGCGTGGTTGTCAGGCCAACTTTGCCTCAAAAAGAGCGGCAACCATGGCACAAGACACTTCCAATAATTCAATTTTTTAAAAAAAGTACTTCCAAAGCATACTGTATGGGTACAAGGGCGTGAAGCGGTGCAGGCAAGTGCTATACATCCACACGGACAAGGAGAAATTTATATCGCAGATGTTATGCACATTTACGGAGCGAGTCGCAGTCTCAGCACATTCAGCTGCCAAGGAACCGGCCGTTTCTTCATCAATCATATCCACTTTTTTTTCCTCCCAAGATCTTCACATTGGCTCAATAACTGTTGCAATACCGCGGTCTGCAAAGCTGTGCTAGTACGCTAGACGGGTGTACACGTACATGTGTATAAAGTACAGTACGGAAATGACTGTTTTTGGACCGCGGCTCCGAGAATAGAGCGTCCGTGGTTCAGGCCGCCGTAGACGGCGCAGGTCGGTATTACTACACGCTGAATTCGTCCAACGTGTGTATAGCACGGTTCCAAGTGTGTATTATTATGCTGGGTATTATGTTGTGCTTAGTACATGTATTTCGGTGTATGGACGTGCAGCTTAAAATTGTCTGTTAATGTGGAAATTTTCAAAATTATAGAAGAGTGAGTAATTGTGAATGTCAATTACATTATAAGTTATTGTCAATGACTGAGCCCATCACAAGAGAAAATAATTTTGATCAATGAAAATAGAGAAATCTATTATATATATTAGGCCTACTCTTTTTAGTAATTGAAAATGGTCAACGACAGGTCAACTTACCACCGACGGTTAGGCCACATATCCTGTCACTGGAATGGAATCGCTGAACCGCCCCTTAAGGAGGAAATAAAAACGAGACAATTTAATTTGGCATATCTGTGTACTTCGTCCAATGCATTTATACACATCAGCTTGAAAACCCAAACGTCCGTTGGGCGAGTATGCGGAAAATGCATCCGAGTCCAGCACGAAATCGAATACGGTATACACAAGATGTGAAATACTGCCTTGCACTAAAAAAAAACGGCGGGAACTGTTTAGGGCACGTGAATGCATTTCTGCGCGAATATTTGTTTTATGATTTACACCGGCATTAAGTTTACACTTTGGGGAATTGTCTCTCCCGCTTGATCAAAAGGGTATAAAAGAGAGAGAGAGAAAACTGGGTCCCTTTATTTAATGTGTCTGGTGTATTACCCGACCCCATGGGACAGTAATGCAAAGTGAATGTGTTCGCAGTGAAAGAGGTTTTTCAAAGAAGAAGAAAAGAAAAAAAGGGAGGCAGAAGAAAAAAAAAATAAATACGATTTTTATTCATTGGAGGACGATCCAGCGAGCGGAAAGTGTGGAGGAATTATGGCTCTTTATGGCCATCGCGACAGGGCGGGCAGGTGCGTTTTTTGTACTGGGGAAGCACTGGAGGGGGCCCGGGCCCACCGGCTACCGCCGTGATATTGTTGCTCCGCTGCTCGACGCTGAAAAGGGGTTCGACTCATGTTTAGACGGAAAACGAGCAGCTTGTCTTGAAAAGGGAGTTTGGCTTTGTTTATCAAAATGGCGACAGGGTCAAAAAATGCCACACGCAGTATACGGCATACAGTATCCGTTTTGCATCAAAGTTTGCAAGAGAACTTCGCACCTGACGGCGTCGAAGTAATCAAAAAGAAGTCTCCTGTTTGGACGAACCATTTTTTTATATTAAGATTATCATAAACTACAGTTCCTCTGTGAAGGTCTCCAATAAGGATAAACTTGAATGTAAAGAGAAGTTGAAAGAAACGTCTCCCATATAACTGTAACCTTATGAGTGCATAAACGCATGAAATCTAACTCATCGGTTTTGATCTCTGTTTCTGAGTCGCTCACGGTCAGGCACGACATTTGAAAATTCTGATTCATAGCGTTAAATGCAAGGTGATTATATGACTATATTCTTTCTGCTCCAGAGCCTTCCCAAACACAACGGGAGGGAGCATATTCAATATTAATTGCTATGTACCAATGGACACGCTAGTCTTGCGTATCAGCACCCATCAAAGCGCACACAGCTGCTGAGACCCACAACCATCAGGGTTTTTTTCCTTCCGCGAGTCCGAGCAGCGCTGGCATGAAATCTTATCCACACCCTTGTTGCTTGTCCTCTGCAGCCCCAGCGCGGCGGCGGTGCCATTATGGACGCAGTGGAGCGACGGGGGAGAACACATCGCGACCTCTTACGCGGACCATGCACTCCACCGGCCGTGGCGGACTGAGGGGGGCCGGCCGCGGCCCGGACGAGGGGCCAGTCGACCAGCACTTGTCGGGCCACCCGTGGGAGATGAAAGAAGGGAAGTGCGGGAACACCGCGGTGCATATCATTATTTTTTCCTTCCCATTTGTGATGAATGTATGACTTATAGAACATGTGGGCTACAGATTTAATGTACGATTGAAAGGTGGCTCTCGTTTTTTCCGGAAAAGAAATCTTGTGTATATACCTTGGTGCTTTAATTCAATTTGATCGAAAGATAAATCTGTATTCATGTGTGTGCGCAAGCGCGATGCATTTCGGATGGTATTTCCCACTCTCTGAAAGTCTCCTGCGTCACATCATTCTCAGTTGGGTCCTGCACATTTACATAAATACACCAATTCAGCCCACTTGGTAATATATGGTCTGGTCTCGATCACTGAACGAAAAGGCAAGAAAGCTTGATTCCGTTTCATAGTCGAACTCCGAGGTTGTTACCTCCCTATGCATTGTTAATTTTATTTCGATATGGCTTTAAAACGTTGATTTCATTTTTGCACCATTTTACTCAAGACAATCAAAGTGCTCACAAGTTTAAACACAAGTTGTTGGTTTTTTTCAGAGCCAAATGGTAAAGACTATGAACGATCAACCGATAACGCAAGTGTTCATTATGCGCATGCCACAGCATTCTAATGACCGAGTGTCTCATGCATAATGCAGATATGGATGTCCTCCGCACATTATCACAATATCAAACAGTTGGGATTATAAATTCTATGCATTATCCATGCACACTCATGCCTAGAGCAATTACCTACCCTTTAATGGCATGCATCTCTACACTATATGTATATTTTAACGTGTAGAGTAGAGACCCAAAGCTCAGCCCCTCAATACACGCTATAAAACTGCTACAAAATTTGGATATCAAAGGTTGAAAAAATGCTTAGAATACCTTTTTGTAATAAAAACTATTTAATCAGTGAACAAAAATAAATTAAACGCATCCTTTGAAAGCAAGCTCTTGTGCTGCTCTAGCTGCAAACATTCCAGTTGTCAACTATTAAACAAACATCTTAATGAATCGCGAGACAACAATCAGGACCAGCTTAATAGACTTTTGAAAATACCACTGGCGCAAAAAAACACGATTCTTGGTATCAAATTGACGGGCAAGAGCAGGTTGTGACAAGATATCGAACTTGTAGTTCACATCTTACTGGAACAGCCAGGGTTACCTCAGTCGAAAACCTTCTGAGGACTGTTCCACTGTGTTGAAAACTATTAGCAAACCTTGACAGTTGTTGTCACAAGCAACAATAATCAAAATGGATATGCAAGACACCGCTTTTCTCTTTAGCCACCGATATCGAGTGAGCTGAACCCAGGGTAGCGATCGTGGGAACTGTCCAGCATAATTTTGCATTTCACAATACAGTCCTATATTCACAGCTCCTCGGTCGTCGTCCGCGACTGATATTGCTCTGATTCGGTAAGGCATGAAGGGGGGAAAAGCGAGTGGGGAAAGAATACCCTCGCTTCAAAAATCTGCTGATCTCATGTCAGGGCAGGGACAGTCCCTCCGGTGGTGGCTGGTTCTCGCATCCAGGCTCCTTGTTCCAGGGCCGGCCACGCGCTGGCTTGCCGAGCTTTTTTTTTATATCGTCTCATCGCTCCGTGTCTCTGGAGAACTCGACCGTCCTCTCACCGAGATGAAGACGGAGGACGGACGCAGGGTTCCTTTTTTGTGAGTGTGATGGGGAGAAAGAAGGGAATAGAGCACAGCGCGGTAGAAGAGAAGAAAAAGTGGGAAGGGAAAAGAGAAAGCTAAATCAGTTTTCAGTCTCCTCCAGAAAAGCCCTGGGTGCCAGCGATCGATGCTGTGTGCAGTTCTGCCCCGGGGCTCTGTCATTCAACTCAAAATCTGCGGAAAATCCACCACAACTCGATTCAGTGTGATGTGTGCATGGTGCGACCGCGCGCCCGGGCCGGGCCGGGCCAGCCTGGCTAAGGAAACGACCCAGGGCCATCTTTCCTTTAAAATCCCCAGCAAAGGGGGGCAGGGAGTGTACAGTGTCTAGGGCACAGTCACCGGGGGACACTGTACTCTTGGCTCCATAATAACACACAATATCAAATCTCATGCGGCCGGAGCCTTTATATTTCCTTCAGAATTATGAACAGCCAAAGTGCTTTAAACCTCAAGCATGGGGCGTCTCGCGTATCCCGCATCCACACACTGAGTACGTACATACACTCTGGCACAATGCATTAGCCCAATGCATCGTTTGATACTGTCCCTATATTCCAACTAACGGAGCCGCCCCCAAGAGGATGCAATCACTCAGAAAACGAACCAACCCTTGGATATGACATTTCCTCTTTCTGGTTAACAGAAGTCACATCTTGATAACAGCTGCTTGAATATGCGAGGAGCAGATTGTAGGTACAAAGTGAATGTGAATTCACTTTGTACCGTCGACAGAAGTCGTGGAACGCCTCAGCGTGGTTCTTCCACGTGTGCATTCCGATGAAAACAAAATCTACGTTTTTTATGAGCACATGGGTACAACTTGAAGTAAGTGTCAATTTTTTACTGCATCGGCCGTAACAACATTATTCCAAGTTAACGCTGCTTTACTCATGAGTTCGAGCCTCTAGGAAATGGCGTTACTGAATACAAGCACACCTGGGTAATCGTATCAACGTTGAATATTTGCAAATTTTCGTATTCACTAACTTTTCTTTTCGCCAATTAACAGCTTTTTCCAAGGCCACAATAGAAAACGATCGTGCATAGCATACAATATCTGTACCCATAGCAAAACAGAACCAAGCATACACGGCACATAAAAACTAGACATTCGAATAACAAATATGAAATAAAATCCGATCAAGTAGATTTACATGCGCGAATTTCCAGTAGTACATTACTTTTTTCAGCGTCAACTCAGACTGTACAACCTGTGCATGAGACGTCATTCGTATAACCACTGATACATTGTGAGACGAACCTGTATCCACGTCAAAGTCGTATCTTTTGCCGACTAGAGGCTAGCAAACTACAATTGGTCGCCAATACAAAAGAAATTTCAATACGTTATTGGAAGAACACAGTTATCAAAACGCCAAATGACACACGCTTCTAGTAACAACTAGGCCTAAATGCAAATGCAGCCTTCTTTTAACGCTATGGGATAAAATATACATCTGCCCATCTGGAGGCAAAACCCGTCAGCAACTACGGTCGACATTTCTGCAAGCTTTGGCTGACCCTAAGAATAGTACGCAATCTGAGAAAGCTGTATACAATAGCATCTCGAAAACTGCCGTGGGTAAAAGTTTTGATACTAAGAGTGCATGCTCCTTGTGATTGTGACGAGCCGCTTGACACTCTGCATAACCGACAAGCTCCGACACCATTCTTGCGCAAGCATCGGTACAATGCAAGACAAGGTGACGGAGCCGGGCTCCACTTTTGAAACAGGGGAGCAAAAAGGCGGTCTCACACAATGTTCGACCTTTACCTGAAATCAACCTAGACACAACAAGATGCAGGTGCAATAGAGAATGTCGAAGCTTGGCAGAAATAAACCAAAAG